AAAGAGACAGCATAGGTTTTAACTACAAGTCCAGCAAAAATGTTTCGCTGATATTCTACCGCTGTAAGACACAGCTGTGAGGGGTTCCGCTCGTCAGTGAGTCTTCCGGAATTCCCTGTGTGCTTTCTAGTGGATACTCCTGTTAATCTATCTGTCTTATGGAGTTACCTGTAACATATGCACAACTGTGTTTATTTCCCTTAAACTTGTACAGTTTGAGCTGAGTTATCCGCGGTCTCTGTCTTTTACTCCAACTACGCTGATTGATGGATTGATTAGTCGTCAAGATGCACACGCCGGCCCCTAATAACAAAAGACTGGCTGTCAACGCTGTTGTTGTGTATTCAAGACTGATTGCTGATGGCTCATGTTCTGGGCACAGTAGGCAACACTAGAGGTAAGTCGAGGATGCGTGTGTGGAAACGTGATAGGCCAGGGGAAGGCCAATCAGTGTCTAGCAGTTTTGTGCACGCATTCGTGACCTTGAAAGTTCGTCTGTCAGGCACACAAGTCGCGCAACCTCCGGAACCCGGAACGAGCCTCATGCCTTCAACTAGACAGTATAGGGAAGGATACAGTAACAGTAGAGATCCATACTTGACAAATTTGAAACCGGCTTCCAGTTGGACTTGCGTCTGAATCTGCCGTAGGAAAAATAATTTCTACCAAGAACGCTAAATAAAGTAGCTTTTAAACGGATTAGGACTCAGGTAAAGCCCCGTTTACGCTTCAGATTAATCTAATAGGCAAGACCAACTTCGGCCCATGCACACCCTTCCAAGCACTGGGATTTTGGCTACGTCCTTTCCTCAGTTGAGAACCGCATTTCCGCCCTCTCTCCTACTATTTTAACCAGTGCCATTTTTTGTTTAAACAGGTTGCAAACCGAAAGCCGAATGGGTCCGCGTAGTGAGTAAAGGAGCCGACAATTTGACTGTAGAATGGCTGGTTCCCCATGACTGTCGCAAAGACCATGGTCCAAAGAGGGCCCACCATCTGGCCCTGGACGGTTTCCGGGTCTACATCAAGGACGCTGCGAAACCCCGGGAGGAGTGGAAACCAGTCGCCGATCTGGATCACTACATGAATCGTCTCGTTATCGGCGGTCTGAGTCCCGACAAGAGTTACTACTTCGGTGTGGCCGCAGTCAACCAATTTGGACCGGGTGAAATCGTATCAACTAGTGAGCCGAGTTCACCTGAAGCCATTACAAGTACGAGTCAATTACTTCTCTTTTTCTTTCGCGGACGCTTATCTAAACACAGTTTCGATTAGCTTTAAGCATTGTGAGAACAGTTATTTAC